AAAGTAAAAATAGTGGCATTTCTATCACGCTTTATTGTTGGCTTTTAACTGAGGGTTGGGATTTTGTAAAGGCACATCGATGAGTAAAACAGCTTCAATTCTATCTGTTTTATTCTGAGAACACAAATGCGAAAACGTTTTTGAATGTTGCATTTATTTGATCATTTTTTTCTTTTTTGGCATCTGGAGCCATAGTTCGTCGCCAGTTAACGACTTGAATGTAAAAGGTGTTTGAAGTTGTTTTTCTGAGCCGACAGGGTTTACGTTAGGGTTAGGTTAGATTGATAACTATAAAAAGATGAAATATAAAACTGAAAACTGGTCACATAAAGGAGACGTTCCTTCTTTAAAAAAAATGATCATGGAAGAATTTGAAAATGCCTACGAATACTTTCAATTTCAGTAAGAATATCCTTTTGTATCCAAATTTCAATAGAACAAAAGCTGTTCATTTAGTTGATTCTCAGACTATATCTTTCTCTCCAGTACGACGATTGTCACCATTCCATTCAACGTTCTAACCGTACAGGATAGACGTGACTCAATCGGCGACTATAGAAAAGACATAGATACATTGTCTAATCAGATATGAAAGTAATCCATAGATATTTGGTGAATAACTAATAATTATTGATTATTTCGACTTTGTTTATTACTTTACTTTTTTAAACTTCAATATCTCTATCTTTTTTTTTTTTAATAGATAAACACCTGATTAAATTCCTTATGAAGAGAAATATCTCTAAAAGTACGTTGATTAAGCTGCTTCCTAATAAAAGAAGCCATTTAACCTTGCACGGTAGTTCATCTCGTGCATTCGATAGCAGATCAAATTGGATAAGGGATCATTTCTTGAAAATGGTTCAATGCAACCCAATACATCTTACAGAAGAGACGGGTACTGCTAAATAAACATCATTCCTCTGATCGATGTTACAATGTGGAATTACTGGGAATAGCACATCGACATTCTAATGGCCTATGATAACGATTTCTGCTGATATTGAAAATAAAAAAAATACATATATTATAAAAATTAATTATATATTAGTTTTTTTTAGATATAATTTATTTAAGTAAATGCTCTGATTTTTGTTTAATTAAACAGTATTAATTACATTTACATTTATCGAGAAATTTCGTAGAAAATATTTGAAAATTCTCGAACATTCAGGCCGGCAAATATAATTAATACTGTTTAATTAAAGAAAAAATCAGAGCATTTACTTAAATAAATTGTATCTATAAAAATAAGGTATGAACGGAAAATATAATAAAATAATTGTCGGACATAATCCATTTCATAATATGTCATCCTTGTTTACGTTAAGATATGATTTCGTGAGCAGATATGATTGATCGAGAAAAATCGTCGAAGGTGTGTATTTATAAACAGTGATTCGGACTTTGTTAACCAGATGATTCTTTGTGGCACATCAGATCAAATAATGGTTCCAATTAGGTTTACAGGTTCGATTCCTGTCGGAGAAGCACATGTTTTTTACGAAATTTCTCGTACATTCAGGCAGGTAAATGTAACTAATAATGTTTAATTAAAAAAGAAAAAAAAAGAATTTACTTAAATAAATTATATCTATAAAAATAACGTATAAACAGAAAATATATTAAAATAATTGTCGGATTTAATCTATTTCATAATATATATATATATGAGAGAGAGAGAGAGAGAGAGAGAGAGAGAGAGAGAGTAAAAGAGTGTGTACATTGATCTATAACTACAAACGCTCTATCTCGGATATTGAGCACTCATCCCCTATAAATATACCAAATTTTCAGCACACACACATATATTACAGCATGCAATGGGTAAATTGTCGTTATTTTATATTTTAAATTTTTCACATGCGCGTCGTTCGTTTTTGATTTTGTCGATTGCACAGTATAGTAAGGTCAGTTGGTCACCGTCTGTGAGAAATAGAGCCCCAATGACGCAATTCACTCTACCAGAAATTTGGAAACGGCATGCTGTACCGCTTGGCATTCGCGCTGGAAGCTCCAATATGAATATTTCAGTGTTTGAGTGTCAATCTGAGAACGGTACAGAGGAGTCGGAATTGAGTTGGATGAGTCTAATAGTGATTACGAAGGTGTTTGGAGTGATCTCTAGTGATGGGGACATTATGCCTCTATTCATCTTTCCACAGAACTTCAGACTTAACACGGAGGACTACATCAAGTGCCTTGAAGAGGTAGTGCTACCCTGGGTCAAGAGGTTGGCAACAGGATTCTTCACCATGCCACACCACACAAGCAGGAGAACCCAGTCATGGCTGTCAGACAATTTCTGAGACTACATCACACCTTAGATCTGGCCACCTAACTCCGCAGACTGCAACCCCTTTGTTTTAATTATGTGTGAGGCGCAGCTGAGCGAGAGACAACAAAACTCCTGAGCTGAAGGCAAGATAATGACAGCATTTACCAACTTAAACAAGGAGACCGTCCACAAGAGATTCTGGAGGTTGTGTTTGAAACCAATGGCGATTTTATTGAATAAATTTACTCTTTATTATTTTGAGATATTTTTATATAATTTTGGTAAATATATCTGTTAAAATGAGGTGTTAGTGTTATTTTCATTTTTGTGTAACTCTCTCTCTCTCTCTATCTATCTATATGATATTGTTTGATCTTATTGATCTTAACTCCTTCGTAGCCTATTTGACAAGGATTTGATAACCGTTTTCCTTTCTTAGACGTCAGTAACAAGTGACTGATTTGCGCAGACTGACCAGACTAATGGTGCTTTTCTAAGCGTATCTTAGATGTGGCACAAGGCCGAAAGTAAGGGGCTCCCAGTGAGGATCGAACTCACTACGCGGTCGTAACTGATCTAGAGAGATCAGCTTGCTAACCGTTACATCACGTCGAGGTGCCCAAACTGACAGATTAATGAACGGTATACCATAGCAAAAGCACACTTGTCATCTACAGAAATGATTCAGGGGAAAGAACATATTAATTTAAAGGTCTCTGATTCGATCCTCGTCATCGACATCCAATAGTATTTCATCTAACTGATAATTTTGTCGATAGTCAACTTATAAACCTCTCTTCTCGTATAACGTTATTACTGGAAGTGATTTAGCCTCAAAAGATACTCCAAAGGAAAAGGTTTAATGCTTTGTTCTCATTGTTTTCGAGTTCAGATTTCTTGACGTTTTTTTCTTTCTACCAAGCGCGCATAGAGAAGGAATTTTTCTTCTCTTCCGGGTTTTTGTGTCATAGGAATGCAATAACACTCTTATCGAGACGAGCTGTCCATTCGATAAGAAACATTAGAAAAGAGAATGGAGTATTTCACGTTTGAAGGAAACCACTTCTTGCTATGGTTAATTTTGTATTGTTGCAAACCATTAGGATTTCTTTTGAGCGATCTATAAATATAACCTTTTAACAGACTTGACTTAAAGTTACAAATTATTTTGTTTCAAATTCAGATATTTATTTTAAAAATACGAATCGATGCAGTTGTTGGGTTTACTCAGCGAATATGCGTGATTGTGTAGATTTGAGTGAACGAATTGAAAAAGATTTTGGGATTTGGAACTGGAAACGATTTGGGAGGAAGAGGGATGAAAACTATTTTTTATAGGAAGGCTCAGGAAATATTTTTGGGGAAATAATATTAAAATATAAAGAAGTGAAATAATTCCGAAAAAATGTCTTTTTGTTCGTGAATATTTTATTAAAATTAAGAATTAAACAGCCTTTTTTGGATTAGCTACAAATATTTTTTCGGAGTCATATTTATATTTTACTAGTAGCATGGCTCGGCGTTGCCCGTGCTTGAATCAAAAATCGTACGACTCATACAGCAATCGCTATCACTTGATTTAAACTATTTTTGCCCTTCCTTGCCTTTAAAGGAGTGCCCTTTACCGTGCTGATGTTGCAACATGCCTTACTTCTTGCCTATCTCACACTGCGAATTTTTTCTAAGCTCAATACTAAACATTAAATCTGTTACGAAAAAAGAACTAAGCAAAATGAACACAAAACGATCAGCTTTAAAAAAGGACTCGTAACTGGAAAAACCGAATGAAAAAAGAATGTTAACAAGAAATACTTTTTCACACCCAACCCAGTTCTGCGGAATCAGAATCAACGTTGAGTTTTAGCAAGCGAATGAGCCAATTGGAGTAAAGTGCCATGCAGATTTAAATTTTTCCCACGTGACGAATGCAGCTATCGATTTTTTTGCATGCTAGCATGCTAGTTAACATTCGTGTCAGTCAGCTGTTGGCTCTCACGCTGGCCAATATAATCTTCCTGCCTATTCGTGGCAGCCAGCTATAGACTCTCACTCTGGCCAGTAGAAAATGGCCGCAAACTACATGAAAACAGTCGTAGAAGCATGGAAAAATCGATTATTTCCACTATCGATGGGAGTTGGTAAATGCAAAGTCGGTCTTGGCCTTCCCGCTAACTTGGAGACTGTGCGTAAATTTTGGTGCAAATCCGTCAAAAATTGCGGCCGTGCATTCGTTACACACACACACACACACACACACACACACACATCCTGCCTTTTATAGATAGAGATTATGTATTTATAGACTTGTTTTGGCCATTACTTCGGCTTGCCACATTGTCTGAGATTTACGACGAGACATTGATAGTCCTTTTAATATACTTATTCTCGTTGATTTTTATCACTGAATTTAATGCCTTTGTATATCTGTTCATTTACATGGAATATGTAGCCAGATAAGTTTTGGTCTAATTCGTAAAAATGATGTCAGTTTCTGCAAGTATTCCAGATCCTTAGAGCTTTAGACAATCTACCGTTGGAACCTTTCATATCGGATGAATTATGCACCAACTGAAGAGATGAAGATATTAGTATGAATAATTCGTATATTAAGTTAGTGTTAAAAAATACACATTCAATTTGGTTACATGTATGAACTAGAATGTATCTCATATTGACGAAAATGTTCTTTTTCCGAAATTTATTCTTTCTTTTTATCTTTTAGGGGTTATCTTTCATCAGCGTCGGGCTTTCAAAGTTTGCAGTTTCGATTAATAGAAAATAAGCTTGGCGTCAAAGAGGTATGTTTACTTTTTGAAAAATGGCGTGGAGAGGAGAAGAAATACAAACTTTAAAACTAAACCAAGTATTTCAGTTATTGTCTTTTTATTTTTAAATTAAGTACAAGTTATTTGTGTGTTTTTATATACACACCAATAAATTCGATTTGTTAGAATATTATCAAAACTCGAATCTTCGAAATGGATTTCCACGCTGATTAATTACTCCTAGGGAAATTTAAATATAATTTTTCGAGTTATGGTCCCCCAAAAAGTCATTAAGAGCGATAAAAATATAACTTTGTTTTGTTAAAACAAGAAAATTACTAACAATTTAGATGTAAAAATAAAGTAATACAATCTGTCTAAATGCATTCTTTATTTACTAAGTTTGGAACTCCTAATGAGAATCAAACTGACTACACAACCAAGTCAGCAAACTAATTTCCTAACAACCACTTTAGGGTGAGGCTTTCGAAAATTATGCCCACAATTAATATATTCAAACATCTCTTTAATCGTCTGTTTACCCAATTAGAAGATCAATAAGAATCTATCTTTTGTGTTTGTTTTTATCTATACGACATATGCATAATGTATTTTTACAAGTATTTATGAACAATACGAGTCGCTAACTTCTTATTCCTAATCATTTTTTTCATTTCAGAGCAATCGAGTCAAGTACAACCAACAACATTACCTGAAGGTCTTCAATGATGAAGAATCTGTGCAAAAATTGCAAGATTCATTAAACAGTCCTTCGCTCTTCAAGTTGGTCGAGGTAAGAACATTGATGAATACAAACAGTATCAGAAGCTGAGCTTAAAAGCAATTCGGTAACATTCAATATAAAAGGTAATGTTTCAAAGTTTATAATAGCGAAATTTATTTAGCTTATGCAACATTTTTGTACAGGTGTATTTGTTGTAGGCTTGCGTTAAAGCAAATACTTTGTTAAAATCAAACTGTCTCGACATTGTTTCTTCCTTTCCAAATCGCTAATATTTATTAATCTCTCTTTTTACATTAAAATATTTTCCATGTGTTCCCCTCCCTGGGGATAAGTGAATATGAATCAAAACTGTAGGAAATATTTTTTTTATACCGAACAAATTTAAGTAAATCAAATAAACAGACCGAAATTAATAAAACGATTGTTTTGGGGTGGGGGTGCAACTATTTCTTTCTTTTCATTACAACGATTCCTAAGTGTTTCATTAATGTATCTTTGTGCCAAACGAAGATACACTTAAATAATAAATGTCAATATCAACGAATCAGTATCTATTTTTTAAATCATTAGAAAATAAAAATATTTCTGTGAAGCTGCCATATTATGTTACATTGGCGTTTCGCATTTTTAATATATTTCCATTGGAAGTAATGAATGAAACTTTTCCCACTTTTTCTTCAGAGCTGGTTGGAACGCACCCCAGGCTTAGAGAAGAATGGATTTAACTTTTGGAAGAAATATGAAGAAGCCGTTGATTGTTGGTTGGAAGAGTCTATCCGGAAACCTGCTCAGGTCTCTTCTTTTTATTTTCTTCTCTTACATCGAAGAAAAGTAATCGTGTGTCACTTGGGAATAATTAGAAAACGGTTTCATAGAATTCGGCCAGCTTTTTCTTTACAGTGATGTTCACCCAGTACAAGGCTCGAGACCCACTCGAGTTAGAGGGTTACGTAGTAAGAAGCACAGCTTATGCAGATATGTGTGGAAGATTAACCCTAGACTTGAATTGGTTGATATTGTATTGATCGATGAAGCAAACTTTTTGGGAGTCGATTCCACAAGGCAAGGCAGTGATTCGTAGAAAGAAGCTGCTTGAGTGGAACTTACATCTCACCAAAGAAATACGAAATACGTCTTAGCTGTAAAAGTTAGCAGAGGTAGAACTAAGGAGTGTAGTTCATCTGTGTCTGTGAGAAAAGGGTCGTAAGGTGGAAAATAATTCGTCACCTACAAGGACGTGGAAAGACTTTTAGACTCTATTGAAAAGTGAAGACTGAGCACCTCCTGTCCATATATGACAGCAGTCTTCCTTTTTCGGTCTGATCTGGATTTTGTAAAGGTAGAGCATAGCTGTGGCGGTACAGGAAACCGATCATTTTCCCAGCAATGGAAATGTATGTACGAATTCCACTTGAGGTTTGGGTTGAATTTAAGTCTCAATAAACATTCAAGGCACGGGTTTTCGCTGAGGGAACTTCCGTTCATCAGGATTGGTTTAAGTTCTGAGTCCGATCGGCGATAGTGGAAGGTCACTAATTTGGTTTTTGAGGCATTGAATGTAACCAGCCAGCCCCCCCCCCCACTGAGCTGATAGAGCACGTTCAGAGAGATCAGCTACCAAACTCTGGTCATCGAGGGTGAATGGATCAAGAGATGAATATCTAGGATTAAGTAAATTATTTATTTCTTCATTAATGGTTAATTGTAAAATTGCGTTATTGTTATTTACTATGTTTAGCTTAGTCTGGCAGAAGGCAACACGTATAGGGCACACAGTGAGGATCGAACTCGGTACTTTGTAGTAATATTCAACCAGACTAGCACGTTAACCACTCTTTCACGTCAAGGCTCCCTTGAGAAAAAAATCTTGTTGAATATTTTGTGCATAAGAATACAAATTTAAACAGAATTAAGTGGGTAATCCTTATTAAGTTTTTACTCGTATTTTCTTTCATCTTAATTTAGTTGCTTTTCATTGCAACTTTACTTAGGACGTCATTTTACAGCTGAGAGTAGAAATCACACCGAAAAATAATCTCTCGGAGACACGAAACCATGCCCATTTTAACATAGGCAGGTCTGCTTAAGGTCTTACCAAACGAGCTATGAGAATTTTCTTTCGATGGCATATTTTTTATTTTATTTTAGTGAGGTATAAAATTTAGTCATTATTTAAACATAAACTGAAACATACCTATTCGTAAAAATAGTTTCACTTTTTTAACAGTCTTTTGATTTATTGTTTACAGTTTAATGAAATATGGCGGTTCAAACAAAATTGTCGCATTGAAAATAACTGGTATGAGTAATTGGTGATAAAACAGATGAACGTTTCAGGAAAACGTTTTAATCGTTGGAAGAAAGTTTTCAGGAGAAACCGTTTAGTTCGTAGCAGGAGAATCACCGAATTCGGTAAGAAGAGGTGAAGAGAAATCTATGAAGATGCATCAGGAAGAGCTAGTTATTTCGAATAGGTTGTTAAGGACGATTGTGAAAATGTATTCAGAGCTAAAACCAGAAAATATTCAACGACGAGAGATACTCTCAAGTGCCTTCAAGTAAATATTGCTTGGCAGATGAAAGAAAATTTGAAGTTTGTTTTATGCTTGTACGCAATCGTCTGATCTATAAGCATGAAACATACTGTCACCGCTGCGTGATGACTTCAATGTATACTTCTATATTTGCATACGCTCTGTCCCTGATAGTGAACACTTTAACTCATAAAGATAGCAAACCTTGAAACTATTTTTAATATATATATATATATATATATATATATATATATTTATTTATTCCTCTACCAGGTGTTACATTTATCTTTGCACCAAAGGATAGAAATGAAACGCCCTGCTATAGTTGCGAATGTTTTCCCTGAATTTGACTATACTATAGTATTGGAAAAATCTACATGCATGTTCACGACTAATTAAAATTCCCGCCCGCAGACTTTATTAGGACATTTATCTGTATAACATAAAACAGTGTATTTTCATTGAATATATATCGAAAATGAATATCTGGAAGTTTAAGCTTACGTTGTTGTGTTTTTTGGATAAGTATATAAAATCCAAATGGTCAAATAACATGAGTAAATAAAATTGCAATGAAGCATGCATAAGTAATTTATTTCTGACGTTTCTTGTTTTCATAATTTAATTTAAAAATCACTGTTATAAAAACTCCGAGGAATTTTCACGAGTTCAACTAGTGTATACATATATATATATATATATATATGATACTTAAGGCGTAAACATTTCTGTATGGGTAGGAGAGTGGCAAGTGATTTGCTCTTCCATTTATCGACACTTTCTTTTAAAATTTATATGGTTTGGTTTTCTGTGATTAAGCAGTTACAGTATTTCATACTACTTTTGCTCTAACATCTTTGTTGATTGTTTTAATTTTGAGACAACCTTACGGTCAATGCAATCTTTGGTAGTCCTCTAATGTTTAAAGTTCTGAAATGTAGTATTTTAACTATTATACATTTTATTTTAATTATTCTATTCATTTTTAATCATTTTAATGTTTCATCCGATGGATTTGACCTTCCCAAGGTGTTTGTTGCTTTCAGTCGACTTATTTTACTAAATGACTTTTAAAGTTCACCGGGCGCTACATACTGATGTAAGCCAAAGAATATATAGGTGGAAACGTTGTATTGAAGCTAACAATAATTAAGTATAACAGTTTGAAAAATGTTGAATTATGAAGAAATTTACTTTGTTTCTGCTTTCCAGAAAGAAAACGACCCAAAGAAAAGAGAAATATTAATGATGGAATATACAAAGCAGAAGGTCAGTATTTCTCGCTTCATTTACCAATTCAAGAAGTAGAAACTAAAATGGCTATTGTAAGTTCCTGAAATAAGAATATCCAGCTTATGAATAACTTGTACTGCCATAAAATCAAAAAAACATTCGAAATTTGAGTTCCTTTGAATAGTTCGTAATGACAAACTCATGCATTACTTTGTGACGCTCATGAAAGAATTGTACTAGGCACCTCATCTCGGCATAAATTTTCGATACCTCAAGTTTAAAATGAATTTTTAAAAATGAAAAAAAAAAAAACAAACATTCTTGAAGATTTCATTTTAGCTTTAATTGAAAGCTAAATGACTAAATTTATTATTTCCAGTAAGTAAAATATTCTGGTGTATTTCAGACAGAAATTATATAGATTGGAATGTCAAATTTAATTTCGATTTCTTAAAATTTTCTTAAAAGCGGCCATTTTCTTAATGTTAAGAAATTTGTAAACAAAAAAATTTATCGATTTTAAATTTTTTCAAAAAATCTTTATGACACGTTATTTGAGTAAAATTAGAAAGTTAAATTAATCTGATTGGAAATAAATATTACTAACTTATAGCATAAAGAAGTAATAAAAACTTCTGGAAATAGTTTTTTTGCGAAATTTCATGAAATTAAGTGGAAGGGTAAGATATATGTAAAAAATATTATTTACCAAAATTTTCTAAAAAAAAAAATTAAAAAAATAATTTCATTCATTTGTGAAAAAGTCCTGAAAATTTCATTAAAATTGGACAGTTATTTGATTTTTACAAAAATTTCCAAATCAATGTGTTTTTAATGGAAAAAAGCGCAAAACGTCAATGTTAGTATTATACCACCGCGATGACGTAAACAAGACAAGATTTTAACTAAAATTTCGAACATTTTAGAAAAGATTAAAAAATTTCCAAAAATAATTAAAAAAATACTTTGGTCTTTCATCTTAATAATAATGTAAACATTTTGGCAATAATACTTTATTTTGTTTGTGGCCCTTTTCATTATGCTAAGCTGTTTTCCCGCGAAAAAGTGGAGGTGCCTACATTGTACCCTGAAAGCGGTTGGTTGACTCGTGGAAGGTGAACGACGTCCGCCATATTAAATTGTATCACGCGGACTGTATTGAAATTGCGACTTTGTATTTGGATTCATTCTTTTTCTTATTTATCCTTGTAAATATGTTTCTAATGTGCATCAAAGAAAAGAAAAGTAATCATAACTGACAATGAAACTAAAATAATAAAACGATTGGAAATATTCGAAACAATTTGAAAAGATAAGTGAGAATAACGGATCTAGTAAACTACTTTGCTTCAATGAAATCTTTACAAAGTAATGCGCAGTGGTTTATATATTGGAAACGAAAGTTTATTGTATTTTATTATGTTTTTCAAGAAAGTTTACTGAATTCAAAAGGATTTCATAAGTCTTTTACTTGTCTAGAAAGGTAAAATATTTACCCTATACTTAGACAAATATTTAACTAAGCGACGTCGAATATGAACTCGATGAATTTGGTCCTACTCACCTACAAATTCGACATAAGCATAATTAGGAGCACCTGTTTAGGGCTGGATTTCTGGTTCCTTCTAAAGTCTTTTCCTTCTCTTTTACTCACAGTAGCCAGTTGCATATTAGTGGCGTTATGGCCTTGCTTCAGGTGAATTGATTAGAAAAGATTCCCAAAAGTCTTGCTTGTAACCTGGAAACTTTTACTTTTCCATTTAATGGCATCGTTGTAGAAGCTTTTGTCATTTTAAGTTCTTTTACTTGGATGTATATTTAACAAGTTGAATAAATTGTTTCTTGAAATAAAATATCACTTCAATAAGTCAAAGTTTCAACAGTTCACTAAAAATACTTGTTCTCACAGACATTCTCTCTCACATACACACCCTTCGAATGAATTTTAAGATATTTTATATGCCCGCTTGATGGCGTCACGGTTACCAGCAAAGAAAACGAATTTGGCGAATCGACTTGTTTTTGTGATTTGACCTATCGTCAGATATCTTAACAAAATATATCTTCGCTCCAAATACAATAGCCTTCTATTTCTGTTTTTCATTTTCCCTAGGAAAGTAAGGGGGTTATGATCTGTGTAAACTAGAATAGGTTGCTGAGATGTGGATATATAGACTCCAAAATGTTGAAAGCTCAATAAGAGAGTTAATGTTTCTTTCTCTACAGTTTTTCGGTTATGTATTGAATTTCTGGAAAAATAGTTCACAGAGTGCTCGATACTATTTCGATCCACCTGCAATAGGTCTGCGCCAATTCCGTGTTCGATGGCATCCACAGCTAAGTTAAACGGACTTGTAAACTCAGGAGCTTTTAATACAAGATAAGAAGATAGCAAACTTTGATTTTGTCGAAAGCTTGCTGACAGTTTAGAGACCATTCAAACTTGCATCCCTTCTTAAGGAAGTTAGTATGAGGAGTGGATATGTCTGAAAAATTTCAACAAAATCTATAGTATCCAGTCATACCCCCAAATCTCAGGGTTTTCACATTCGTGTGGCCTGGGTACTCGACAATGGTTTGGATTTTGTCATCTACTGGGGTTATTTGACCATATCCTACTACATGTCCTAAATAAGTGACTTTCACTCGGCAAAACTCGCTCTTGGACAGATTCACGGTGAGGGTTGAGCTTTCTTCAACTGAGTGAATACTTCTTGAAGGGTTCTTAAATGTTCTTCTCAGGAATCATTGTACACTAATGACACACTATTGGTAGAGGCTATCGGGGGTCACAAAAGCTGAGACTTCCTTTGCGCAGTCGGCTGACAGCACGCACCGGTATCCCTTTAAGAGATCTAACTTCGTGATGAAGGTAGATCCTGCGAGCTTATCAATGTAATCATCTATCTGGGGGATGGGATAAGAATTTCTTTTAGTAATGGCATTTACCTTTCATTAATCGGTGCAGAATCTCACTGACCCGTCTGGTTTGTCGACCAGTACACATGGTGAGGACCAATCACTCATGCTTGGTTATGCCATTCTTAAGCATGTAACATATATCTTCACGTAAGATGTCAGCTTTCTTAGGGTCTAATTGATACGGACGTTACTTGATGGGGTCTGCGTTTCCTACCTCTACATCGTGAGAAATTAAGTTAGTTTGTCGAGGGACGTCGATTTTCTATAAGGGTGGTCGAAGATTTCCTTCCTTCAGGGATTGTATGTGCCAACTTCCCATCCAAATCGGCTAGTATTTCTGAATTGCACAAAGCAGCGGGTTGTTTATCTATCATTCTCAATTTCTTCAGGAGGTCTACTTAACTTATACTTAGATTTTGGTGTATTAATGACAGGTACTGGACCATCACTATTTCGGTCGTAATATGGCTTTAATATATTTTTATGACATAAGTGCGTCGGTTTTCGGCGGTCAGGCGTTTGCATGACATAAGTGACGTCACCTACTTTATCCACTATTTTGAAAGGGACATAGAATTTGGTTTTAAGTGGGTTTTCGGGTGTTGGTAAGAACACGAAGACTTGGTCACCATTGTGACTTCGGTTGACTACATTCTGATCATATCTTTGTTTCATTTTGCACTGGGAGGATCTAAGGTTTTCCCGTGCTAATCCACAGGCTTTTGATAATATCGTACGGAAACGTTAACGTATTCTGATAAGCTTTCGATGGCTGAATTTTCTTGCATCCAGTCTTCCCTTAATATTTTTAATGGACCGCGGACCGAAAGCCCAAACCCAAGTTCGGACTAAATCCAGTCGACTCCTGCAAGGCCTCTCTAGCAGCGAACATTAAAAACGGCACACCCTCGTCCCAGTCCTTTTGATTTTTTAAGCAAAAGGTTCGAATCATGTTTTTGAGCGTGGAGTGAAATTGCTCCGACGCCCCTGAGACTGTGGATGGTACGCTCTCGAGTGAACGGATTTCACGTTGACTGTTTTCAATAATTGTTGAAATAACTCTGATGTAAAATTGCTTCCCTGGCCAGTTTGTATTATCTGGGGTAACCCAACCATGGCGAAGAACTGAATTAAAGACTTAGACACTTTCTTGGCCGAAATGGTCCTGATGAGTACAGCTTTCCGGAATCATGTGGAAGAACACGTCATGATTACGAAGTATTGATTCCCTTTTGTTGTTTTAAGCATCAGTCCTACACAATCTACTGGGACTCGATGGAATGGTTCCTCAAATGTGGGATGGGGTATAATGAGGCTACAGGAAATTTTCGTCTTTGCCTACCCACTACTTGGGAAGGGTTACATGTTCGGCAATATTTGGTCACATCACATTTGATTCCTGGTCAATAATAGTATCTACTAATTTTGTTACAGGTTTTGGCAACACCTAGATAGCCGCCTAAAAGGATCTCGTGGGCTGTCTTGAGCACTTTAGCTCTATACGGTCTTGGTAAGACTAGTTACCGAATCGTGGACCAATCCTCGGATGAAGGAATCTGAGCAGGTCGCCATTTCTGCATTAGGATATTGTCTTGGAGAAAATATCCCGTGGGAATTTTATCTAGTTCCTCCTTGGGTAATGCATAATTAATTAAAGTATTTATTTCAGGATCTAATCTCTGCTCTGTGACGAGAGACTCCCTACTCACTGGGATTTTTGAAAAAATTATAATTCTATGTTCAACTGTATTTATAAGTCATGGGGAATTATCTGGTGTATCCTTCTTAGAGTTTAAAAATATCTGAGTTTCTGAGGGTATCATCTTCCACTTCGTCCTTATCTTCGAGACTATGATCTTGCCTCATAAATATCTCGGATAGGTCAATGCTTCCGTTAATAGGTTTACTGATCTTTTTGTTTTTCAGCTTGTGCACGGGGCACTACACATGAAGGAAATATCTCTAGACTTTCTTATTCAGTAGTTTCTATGGTTTCTGAAATGACTGGGGTTGGGTTCAGTTTAGGATTTGGGATCACTCTCGCACCTGCTACATCATTCCCTAATATCATTCTATCCCTCTCATGGGTAAGTGCTGCACTATCCCGACTTCCACAGGTCCACTAACTAACTCCGTGGAAAGGTTGACCTGGTGGAGAGGAACAGTGTCATAACTTCCACCCACATCGTAGATTATCATATACTCGCCCGTGGCAGAGTTAATCCCTCGTGGGACATAATCTCCTAAGATTAGGGATTGAATGGTTCTAGTGTCCCTGAGGACTTTCATGGATATTTCGCTTTCAAGATTTCCCACCATCTGACACAAACGGTCTATATTCTTCTTTTTAATTTCTCTACGGGGTCTTAGATTATCTTTTGGAAAACATTTATTTGCTGTTACTAACCCTTCAGGTTTTTTGTCATTTGTACCCTTATAGTTTCCCGATTCTTTTCGGTCCAACAGTCTACTAAGGTGTCCTGATTTATAACAATAATAACAATATAACAATAATGTAATAAAAAGTTGCCGAATTCTTTTTTTGCATGTCCGATGACCGACGTCCAGTTGTTGAAGTACGGGTCTTCTGCGGATCAAGTACTTTTGCACGAAATGTATTTGTCGATCTTGCTTCGGACTGCCTCTGAAACTAAATTTATATCTTAGTGAAGAACTATGTGCTTTCTGGCTTGCGTGCCCGACACCTGGCTTGCCTCTCTTATGTATTAGAGTGTATTCATCCGTTAACGTGGCCATTTTCTGCCCATTATCGATAGATCTTTTGTCCAGGTATATTTTAATGTCATCTGGAACGCAGCGCTTAAATTCTTCCGCTAGTTCTAATTGCTTTAATTTCTCATGACTGGATTCTACATTTTTAGAACTGCATCGGTTGAAAAATAATTCTTTCTGTCGAAAGAATTCTACATAAGTCTTTCTCGAATTTTTTCTATAAATTCGAAATTTCTGTCGTTATGTCTCGGTTACTAGTTTGTATGCCTTTAAAGCGGCTGCCTTTTTACGACTTCATAGTCTGCACTATCTTCGATAGACAAAGCGGCATAAGCTTCTTGGGCTTTACCCTTTAATGCTGTCTGGAGTAGTGTGGTCCATGCATCTAATGGCTAACTTAAATTTGGATGCTACTTTCTCGAATTGGAGGAGGTATTTATTGATATCTTCCCCGCTAAACGGTGACACTAACTGCACTTGCTTAGTTAAATCAAACCCATTTTGTCTATGCACTTTTCTTTTATCTATTTTACTGATTTGGGTTCATTGTGGTATTCTAGCCATTTCAACTTTCGTGTTGATTTTCGCCTTTTTCTATCTTTTTCCTAGCTTTAATCCTGGCCTTCTCGATTTCCACCTGATCTTGTAAAAGCTCGGGTGTTTCTGTCGAGAACCGCGATAACACATCGTCATCGAACACATCATTTCTCGACCATGTGTTCTGCTAGAATTTTTACTGTGTTTTTCTGTATGATCTTCTTACCTCTAAGTCTAGTTTGTCTCCAACTATTATCAGCTCATCTTTTTTTAATCTCAGCAATCTTTCTACGGAGGGAGATACTATAAACTCCTCTATATTTGCCATTTCTGCCTATCAACCACCGGTGTTCCCAATTCCGCTCGGTTAGATGAATGATCAAATTTATATAAAGGAAAGAAATCCCAGACGAGTGCACCAACTATTACGTACCACCCTCTTTTACTGTTATGGTAGTAGTGGGAGGCACATTAACATATAATATAAAATCATGAATTCTTTTACCAATGGTCTTTTCCTGATTGATCAAACACGACCGAGATAAATGGAATCAACGAACAAACATGGTAGGTGACAAACAACAGAAAGTAACAATATAGGGAAAACAAATAATCATTTGATTACTAAAATATACAAATGGAGATTAAATATGTTGGGGTATATTAAAAGATGAAAAGACGAGGCAAAACAAAACAATGAGACAAAAATAAATATTACGGGACAAGACAATGGTGGGGGGGACTTATCTTTTCAGAAAGGTAAATATTATATTGACAACCTTGTGCCAAACTTGCATGAAACTACAAATGACAAAAAAGGCAAAATGAGCAAAGATAAAACAGGCAACCGAAACAAAGGACTGTTGTTTTGAAAAAGCCTTTCTTTTTCTTTTTCTCTTCCTTTTCTTTTAGTGTCTCTTATATGTTTCTCTATTTTTACATTTCTTTTATCCTTTCTTTTTTCTCTTCTTCTTGCTGGGTAGAACGTTTATCTGTGAAATGGGTTTCTTTTTGGTTTCCTTTTTTCTTTTTCGTCTTGTCCAGGAGTTGAGTGAAGAATAAGTTGAATCTTTCTTTGTTTTGTTGTATCTGCTTTTTTTTTTTTTTTTAGCACGCTGGAGTTTGATTTCTTTGAATCAATACTTTACTGAATCTTTTCAGCTCAGAAACCTTAATAGATTTCTATCAATTCCGCACATTCAAATTTATAGCAGATAATAGCAAGTTTAGCTGGACGTCCATTCAGTTTAAATTCTGAAGAGGGACTGACTTGTTGGCTGTCTTTATTTTCATGCCTCGATTTTGGCCCGTGACCCATGACCCATGACTTCCAAATCTAGTGTCGATTTTTAGAATAAAGTTAGATGAGAGTCTGTAACAATATATATATATATATATATATATATATATATATATATATATATATATATATATATACGAAAAGTTCTCATCCCAACCAGAAATTTCTTCCCAAATTCTGATGTCCAGTCATTTGATCAAATTTTGACCAAGAACTTTTCTGTACTCACTTTTAGGTAATGACACTTCTCAAGAAACCCTTCTATTTAGAATCAGGACTATTCAATAAAAGTACAAAGAGCATACTGGATAATGCAAATATGTTGAAATCATCGAGTATACTGAAGTATAAGCTGTAGATTTAAAATAACATGCTGTCGCTTGATGGTAATTGATAGCCACAATTGAAGTATGTCGTAAATAATAATGTTAAGACAGTTGGTACACTAGAAAGTGTGTAAACGACTGCGACTTGATCATGCAAACGAGTGATATATGCATAGACCAGAAGGCATCTAAGAAATACAAACAATTCTCTGGGACATTGAAATTCATTATCCAATCCAGGCTAGATGCCCAGATCTAATTTTTATCAACAACAATAAAAAACATTCACCAGATCGTGAGTGTTGCTGTTTCATTAAACGACAGAGTCAAATTGAAAACAAATGAAAAGCTGAAAAATATTTGGATTTTTAGAGAGAAGTAAAACAATTGTGGAATATCAAAGTAAAAGTAGTGCCCCTCATTACTGGTACACTTGGAATAATTTAGAAACATTTGAAAACGGTTAAAAATCAGGTAATGAATGAAAAATATTTAGACAACATTGTTGATATGTATTGCAAACTAAAACGAATAAAATTGATTGGAATCGAAGTGTATTTATTGAAATTAATCATTTATTTACTGTAGTGCGATCATTTCGTACTTTACTAGAAATTAAATTCTCTTTAATTACCTTGTATCATGAATGAATGCAGAGATTTTCTCGGTTAATGTAAATTTGTTATATGCTCTTTTTCTCCGTAATTTTGAATATTTCTTTTGCAGGAATCTTTTGACTCCATATTTTCTGAGGAACTGCACTCTAAATACGTTGAGAGAGGTACAGTGGCCTTTTATCGACGATTAAATATTTATATCTTTCTATGTATTTATCCGATTGTGGTTTTATCTTTGTTTTTTACTCTACGTTTTAAACGAGGCATTCTTTAACCTTTCAACCTTTCTTATGTTTATTTTGCATCTAGTGATATTAAAAAGTCGCTTATTTATTTTCCAAACTAAAACATCAAAAAACATCAATTCAACAGAGACATAACATTAATTATTCAGATCGTGTAGTGGTCATATAAGAAAAGGAAAGCTTGAAACCAACCCTATCGTTATGTTTGTACATAGAATTAAGAGAAAAAAGTATTTTACATTAAAAATCAGGTTTCAAGTTACATCAAAAGAATGTCGAAAGTAGTATCGCCTGGAACGTTGTGTTAAAAGCAACAAAGATGAAAACATTAGTATGGTAATTTTTTCAGTTTAATCATAGGAATTTTATCATAGCATTCTATGATACATATAAAATGTGAAATATTGTAATTTTATGTTGGCACGTTTAATGGTGTATAAATATGGACACACACACACACACACATATATGTGTGTGCGTAAATTATTTTCAAATAGTGTGTATCTGTAAAGGGAAAAATTAATAAAAAGTGATAAAAGAAAAAATTAGAGCAAATTTTCTATAATTGGAGAATTTAAATCATCAATTTCTTTTGTAAAAACAAAAGAAATTGATGATTTAAATTCTCTAATTTCCTGAAAGTTTCATTAAAATCTGACAATTATTTGATTTTTGCAAGGTGCTAAAAAGGCCCATACTAATTTATGGTCACCCGGTGAATCAAGAAAAAAATTAACAAAAAATTTTGAAGGTTCGAAAAAGAATTAAGAAATATAATTTAATAATCCAAAAATCTTTTGGTATTTCCTCTTTAATAATAACCTATAAATTTTGATGATAAAACATAGTTTTTAAGTTTTAAACACACACACACATATATATGTATGTATGTATGTATATATGTATATATATATATATATATATATATATATATATATATATATATATATATATATATATATATATATATGTGTGTGAGGGTATTTCAGGTTTTG